GCCTCATTGGCAGATACGTGTCACTGGGGCACTGGGGATCATTTCTTTCCTTTCCCAGTTAGTTCTCTGTCTCTGTCTCTGTCTGTCTCTCTCTCTGTGTGTGTGTGTGTGTGTGTGTGCGCGTGCGTGCATGCGAGTGTGTGTGTTTCTCCCTCTTTGCCTCGTACCGCTCCAGTGCCATGCCTGCCTGCCTGTCTGCTGCCATGTTCCCTGCCATGATGGTCATGGACTCTAACCCTTTAGAACTGCAAGCTCCCGATAAACTTTCTTCAATAAATTGCCTTGGTCACAGTGACTCTTAACAGCAATAAAAGAAAATTATAAAAAAGACACAGGCTTTTCAGAATGTATAAGGAAAAAGTACCACAGCTGCTATTGGACATCCCTGGAAATTAGAGAACTATGCTGGTGTTTTGTTTCCCACACACCTTTAAGATGGGAGGGATCCCTCACTTCCATAGCTTCTTTGCATATTGAGAGCCATATTTACAGGCATGGCTATTTGGTTCTGTTTCCTCTCACCATTTTCCATCTTCCAGCATTGTTTTCTAATGTTCTACCCCATGGCCTTCTTACTACTCTGCTCTTCTGTTTCCAGACAACATGATTCCCAAAGCCCTTCAACCATTACTGACTCATGAGCTCAAGCCCCATCTTTGAAATTGTCTCCTGAACACGGTACATATATGGCCTTTGGTCCTAGCAAGCCCCACAGAAATCAGAGCCTGGGCCACATGTGCTCTGGTCCTCTAACTCAGTTTGAACAAAGCAGCAATTAAGGTGTTCTCTTTTCTCTCAGGTCTCAGCTTCCCTGTTCCTTTCTAATGATAATGTGTCAGCCATGCAACATGTGCTTCCTTCCACATTTGTGTTATTGCATGCAAGCACATGAATGCATGGGTGTACATACACACATGCACATACTTACATGGACACAAGCATGCCTATGCTTGCACAAAGTAAAGCTGAAGAACTGAATTGGCCAAATAAACTTACTTAGAAAAATGTAGTGTGTAGTAGTATCTTATTGCTATTGAGATAACAACTATCTTCATGTAAAAAAAAAAAAAAAAAGCTATGTTTATGCCAAGAAGCATATGTATGTTGGGATATCAGCATATATGTAATTCAATGGATATTCATTTTCCTTCCCTCTCTTATCTAAGAACTTGATGGCTCACAGAAAGGTATCAACACAGAGCTTTCCATCTAGAAATGAACTGACTGGCTTATCCTGTGGCTAATGGTTTGTTGAGCACAAAGAGAACCGTATAAACTTTCTTTTGTTTATTTTCCAAAATTCACACATATAAATTTATTGTAGAGTTAGTAAGCACCCTACGTTTGAGACTCAGGTTTCTCAAATTGGAATGTTAGTACTTCACTGAAAAACTAGATCTATCTACATCGTGATCTTCCTGGAGAGGGAACTGAGACCCAGAAAGCCTTGGTGATCTGCTCAAACTTATAAAACTTCCTACAGAACTCCTAACCCTCTAGTAATACACTAGCATATACCTCCTTTTCAATACATTGAATCCTTTTTTGTTGCCTGTTCTCAAGTAAGTTTCCAAGCCCACTAGAAATCCTTATACATGCTAATTCTTAGTCACTTTAGTGTACTTGGTATACAAATACATAACTAGTTAACAAAAAAGCAAAGTTGTAAACATAACAGGCATACTTCTCAAAATTTAAAGAAAAATATCCTAAGATAATGGAGGCTTCTTGTTTCTCTGCTAGTCTGGTTCGTTTCAGTATACTCTAGAGTCCCCAAGGTCCCCAATGCTGCAGCAAACATACAAACACATTCACCTAAGAATTAAGTACAAGAATACTCTCTTGCCTACTTTTTCTCTTAAAATCTGACATGTGAGGGAACTGTATTTTAACTATTGATAACTGCCATAGGCTTTCTGCATCATACATATTTCTGAGTTACAGAGCCATGGGAGTGGAAGAAGGCTAGTGTACAATACCTCCGTATGTAGTAATATGAGAACAAATTAAGCTGCGGGATGTTCGAGCCATAGCTTTCACATAAAATGTGATCCAGCTGAGATTTCTGACTGCTGTCCCTTTGGTGTTTCTTTTTATTAGTGCTTGGATACCGTGCCTTCTATCCCATACAGCATCTTAGGACAGGGCTCTTAGATGTAGCTCCTACCCCTATAACACAATTCCCTGTCGCCCTTTTTAAATGTTCCTTAACTGCTGATGTGATAAATAGAAACTCGTGTCATCATTAGAGTTAATAGGCATGTTCATTCAGAAGGTAGAGCTCCCAAGCTAGGTATTAGGGACTTATGAGTGAAGGCTTGAGGACTTTAACCTTTCACACCCAAACCTTGCATAGCATGTGTACATATAGCATGTTGGTTGGGCAAATCTGCACTCTATGCACTGACAGAGAGGGAAGGTGTCACATGGCTCTGGACTCCTGAGAAAGATCAAGATGGTTCAGAATTGGCAAGGAACCTGCCCAGTATTATCTGGAATGACCTGATAGGAACAAGGAGAATGGCTTATGTCTGGTGCCTGCTTCCCATATATCCAGTTTATAATGAAAATGAAGCCTAGCAAGTCTCTTCCAGGAGCCTTTAGGAACACTGTGGCATATGGCCAAACCTCTCCATGACTCTGTTTCATTATAATTTTAAAGTAACATATGCTATTTTTTAATTCTTATCTACTGTTTGGGTCCTTTTTTCTCCTGTAGTAGATATTGAACTTAGATGTTCATTCATGCTGGAATGTATAACTGATATACCTTTTCTAATGCTACTAATATTGTTTTATTCAGCCTTGTTTCAGAGTCTTTATTAATAGATGCTCATGGTATTCTGTGCCTCATAAATTTGAGCTGTTTCCAGACATCTCCATTTCTCTTTCTCTTTGTGTCTCTCTGTGTCTCTGTGTCTCTGTCTCTCTTTCTCTGTGTGTGTTTGTGTGTGTGTTGCCTGTGGCTACCATTGTAGCCATCTAACACACTGCTAGCTGTCATATGTACCATGCCCAGGTCTTTCCCTTGCTGTTGAACATCTTAGAATTTAATGACTGTGGGATTATTTATAGACAATTTGAGAGTGGAAGATTGGTGATAGTCATCTTATTTTCCCTGCGCAGTCTGTTTGTTACTCCCCCAGTAACATAGGAGTTTCTGGTGGATAAAGACCATGTTTAAGTTCAGTTTGGCAGTGTGGCTAAGGAAACTGTTTGGTGTTAAGTGCTTTTTTAAAATGACCACCAGGTGTCAGCAGAGGATGTGAAACTCTTTGCAACATCTGCATTCTTGGTTTGAATTCACAGAAGCCTTTCCCATTGGCAGTCAGTCTCCACTGCCTCTCCCCCCACCAACTCCTTAAAATTAGTGTCAAATACTTCTTCCGCAATGCTGCACCATATTTTTACTCCTTTCTCACATAACATGTAATTCTGTTATGCACACTGACAAGGCAAGACAAGAGAGCTAGTACCATAACAAATCTCATACGCATTTTATCAAAGTTCAAGAGAAGCCTAAATATACAACACACAGTGTTAACACTACTTTATGCCTTTTCTTCTTTCAAAAAGTCATTTATCGTGCATGCGTGCGTGTGTGCGTGTGTGTGTGTGTGTATGTGTGTTTTGCCGGTTTTCTCAAGTTTCTCATCTTGCTTCTTCTTTCGGGGAGACTGAGAAATCTGAGATCTGAAATGTGGAAAATTGAGCTATGTGGTGGGATAAAACTGGGAAAATACTTAGCCTCAGTAGCGAAAGTAGTAGTATTTGAAAACTGTCACTTTTGAATAGGTCACGAAGCTATTTGTGAGTCGAAGGATATGACAACTGTGGGATTGGTGGGGACACAAAGCAACTCATGGCTTCACTAGTCACAATTGCTGAAGCCTGGAACATGCAAGGGGTGGAAAGTAGGGCCTAACACACAGCCCTGAGACTACTACCTTAAGTAAGGGCCTGATAAATGCACAGCCCTAGAGTTTAGACATGTTGTAAAGCTTTTAGTCAGAATGGTTGATGACATTTGACAAATAGCATTATAAACAATACCAAGAGATAAATATTCAGAGTCTTCTGTTGCTTTATAATGAGTAAAATATGAGGCAGCACATCAGTTGGGATTCAAAACTATGTAGAGTATTTTGACCATAGAGATTTGATGCTAATGGACAAGGAGAATATCCTTGTTCTTAAAAGGTTGTTCAGGATGGCCTTAAGACATGCTCTGCCCTCATATGCCACTGAAGAAAGGAGCCAACATTCTTTCTGGTAGCATGCCTAGCTCAGTGTCAGATGGGCACACACTGGAAGAATGTCTTTCAGAAGTGTCTTCATTAAGCAGCTTTTTTAAATAGCCCTTTATTGACTTGATTTCCAATTAATATAAAAACTGCATTCAGGATATGTAGGGGGCAGGACTAATTGCATATCAATCAATGTGCCTTTACTCTGTGACAGTTTTGGTTAATGGTCTCTGACATTTTTTTGCTGTTCAGGGAATCGGTCAGCAAGCACATCTTGCTTCGTGGAAGCCTTATTCTTGAACTATGGTCACATTGCTCTATGTCTATGATGGTTTGAATGTGAATGGCCCATTAATTTGGGTGTTATAATATTGTATATTTGTACTCCCTCTGTTGATAGAACTAGTTGGGAGGGATTAGGAGGTATGGTCTTGTTGGAGGAAGTGTGTCATTAGGACCAGGCTTTGAGGTTTCAAAATCCAATGCCATTTTTAATTGTCTCTCTTTACTTGTGCTATGGATCAGGATGTAAGTTGACAGCTACTGTTGAAGCACTGTCCTTCCATGCCCACTTTCATGCTCCCCATTATGATGGTCATGTCCTCCCTCTGGATCTATAAGTCCCCAGTAGACTCTTCTATAAGTTGCCTTGGTCATGGTCTCTCTTTCACAGCAAGAGAAGAGCAACAAAGCAAATGCTCATTCTTACCTCTTTTGCCAATAGCTTCATGCTGTCTTCTCCTCCTTTTGCAGATCACTGGGGTGATCCTGTTGGCTGTTGGAGTCTGGGGAAAGCTGACTTTGGGCACCTATATCTCTCTTATTGCTGAGAACTCCACAAATGCTCCCTATGTGCTCATCGGAACCGGCACCACTATCGTGGTTTTTGGCCTCTTTGGATGCTTTGCTACATGCCGTGGTAGCCCATGGATGCTGAAACTGGTAAGCATGTCTCAGAATAATGTGCTTTCTCAGTTATTTTTGTAAAGCCATAAATCCAAATGATGGTTAAGTAGCCCTTCTTGAAGACACACACACAAAAGAGGATTTCAATATTCATTGATTTTAACTTTACACCAGACTCTTAACTAATCCACCCTTCAACCCCAGACACAGCCTGGCACAGTAAACATAGTCCCAGCTTCCTGAGGTAGATTGACAAAGTACTGGCCATCAATTCCAGTGACAATTAATGTCTTCTTGGCATGATGCCCTGTGCCAGTCTTGAACTCTGGCTTGGAAATCTCCTCAAGCAATGTGCAGCTTTGGTGAGCAAGGGATAAGCAGCCTTCCATGACCAAGATCTCATTGCAACAGGCCTCTCTATGTCCTTAAGTTCTTGTCAAGCAAGGATGCCTGTGTATGCTTTTCTCTCCACATGCACTCTCTGGCCTGTTGCTATGGGAGTTGGTCTAAGCTACAAACTCACTTGAGTGCTAATGCAATAACAAGAATTGGCTTCTAAGACCACTGCCAAGGCCTGTACAGTAGTGTAGACAGAGCAATGATGTATTCTCAGGTAAAGACAGATTGTTGAAAGGCTCTTACTGTGTTGTTAGCAGAATTAGAATCTTATGGTCCTTCTTAGCCTTAATAACTAAAAAAAAAAATTACGAACAATAACAATTGATCCTATATGGAGGTCCAAAGAGGATGTCTGAATACAGAGATAGATGTCCTTTCTCCCACCCACCTTCTGATAGTTATCTTCCCTTGGAACTTTTGGGTAGATTGTTGGCTTTGTATATGACTCTCCAGAGTAATGATACTTCTGATGGAAGTTTCTATGAAGTTTAGGGAGACATTATGTACCTAGGGCATCATAACCTCATGCTTAATATTTTAGTGGTTGTGCTGTTTATTGAGAATTTTGCTAATATTTACAAAAATAAATATTTTTGACCCAATGCTTCCTTATAAATGCTTCCTTTTAAATTATCTGTCACTAAGAAGAGTTATTATGATCCTATGCATATTTTTATACTTATAAGTCATATGTACATATTATAGGTAAGTTATGTTTCATTGTGTAGTCCATCCAGATCATTATTTAGGATCATTACAAACATTCTGAACTTCTCTATTTCATTTTGATAAGTGAAGAAGCAAGCCATTAAGACATATGACTTGTTTGTAAGGAATGCATTCCTCTTCCTTTTGTCTGTTTTTCAAAGTCAGAAAAATGGGAAAAGCCTTCATAATGCAGAGTGCTGTGCAACATCCTTGAACTCAGATGTTTGCCTGGGTGAATACAAAGAGAGAGAAACAGACATAGAGAGAGTGTTCATGTTTCAAATTGGGAAGTGCAGGGAGAATAGATGAGAAACACTTGGGATTATTATTAGTAGTATCTTGTACTTGCTTTCTTAGGGGTTATACCATTCAGCACAGATGCAAGCATCCCCACAAGAACCTGCTGAGGGTACAATGTCCAAGGGTAACTAAAATAATGAAGAAGTACCTACTATTATATACATTCTGGTCTTTGCCAACACATAAAAGTGTGCACTTCCACATAAAGTGGGTTTGTAATCCCTTACTATGAGATGTGACCAAGAAAATGGAGACATTTGCGCAAATGCAAATTGGCAGCAGCACAGCTCTGCATCCTGGCCATGTTCATACATACCAACAGATAATGTACATATACTACTTTCTGAAAGCAGAACCAATACTAGCAAATGGAAATTGGAAGTAGGTAGACCTATGCCCAGGGGCAAAGAAGTTATTCCAGTAATTGGAGCACTTACAAAATAGAACTGGCAGAGCTGGTGTGGCAGCTCAGGCCTAAGGTCCATGCCCAGAACAGCAAAGAGTATAAAAAGGAAACAATAGTTACTTGCATAAATTGACTTTGCATGTGCTAGCTTGCCGTTAGGAAGAAATTGGTTGAAAAGTCTCCCAAACAGGGCAGAGCTATGTCCTGTGACCAGCAGAGCAGGTGTTTTGTTCTAGCGTAAATATTTTCATATTGAAAGTAGGTAGCACTTTGGATTGGATGTCCCTTTCAGGGTTCTCCTGATTAGTCAGAGCAGATAGGCACAGCGTCAGTGTCAACTGAACTCTCCTCAGCATCCACACCCCAAAATGTTTGGGCATATGAAAAAGATAGTTTTCTATGTTGATGCTCATGTGTGAAATTCCAAGGAAGTTATTTACATTTCTGAACTTTCTCTAGTGATAATAAGGAGTTATCTAATTGCCTTTAACAAAAAGATGCTCAACCTGAAAAAGTCCTCATTTTAAGGTTGTATCCCCTCGTGTGTGTGTGTGTGTGTGTGTGTGTGTGTGTGTGTGTCTGTCTGTCTGTCTATTTATGTCTCTGTTTCTGTGTGATAGGCAGGTTCTTTGTCTGTGTTTGTGTTTTCACATATTCATGGCAGTGCAAAGCCCACAGAGGTAAGAGACATTGGATGCCCTCAGAGCTGGAACTAGAAGCATGTGTGTGTGACCTGACATTGGTGCTATGAGCTGAACTTGGGTTCTCTAAAGAGTAGTATGTGCTCTTAACTGATGAACCGATTTTCCCAGCCCTTCTGAGCCCTCTTCTTAACCCTGCCTTGTAACTTTGTGCTTGCTTGCTCCATTTTCAGTATGCCATGTTCCTGTCCCTGGTGTTCCTGGCTGAGCTTGTAGCTGGCATTTCTGGATTTGTCTTTCGTCATGAGGTAAGTATACTTGGTGGTGGGCAACTCAGTTTAATAGGCTTTATGAAGAAGTGTTTTGAAAATGAATGGCATGTGTAAAGCGTGCATACGGGCTAGCTGGAAACTTCCCTCAAGCTCTTACATCCCTCATCGTAGATCCTTACTTGAGCCTTCTCTGCAGTTGTTTCATAAAGAAACAACTTCCAATATGGATTTAATATTCCTTTGAACGTAGCTATTTCCACAGAGCACACGTGTAACTCTGTAAGATTTCTGACACTGGAGTCAAGCTGAGATAATTGTCTTATTTATAAATACATGATTATACCACATAAAGACCAGGAACACGGTAATAGATAGGTGTGTGGTAATAGACGGCATAACGCCACATGGGCTGAGCAGTATTGTGACTGAGGCCCTGTTTTTGTATGCTGAGTGATATTCCCTGGGAGCCTGCCTTGTATATGTTCTATTCCTTTCCCTATTTTCCTGATTTTTCCCTTGACTGTGGGTAGTATCCCAAATGCCAAAGCTAAGCTCCAGAATCTGTGATGCTACATCTAGAGGTAGACTGCTCGTTCTTCCGATCAGATGAAGAGAAATGGATAAAGGCATGACCTCAAAAGCCCTGACAGAAGCACTCTTCTCACTTTTCAACATAGTTTCACAGTCTCATCGTGATCACAAATAAAGGTTGACTGTGGCTAAGTGTCAAAACTCACAGGGTGACAGTAGCTCACATTGGTACCATTTACTTGGACTGATGTTGCAAAAGAAGAAGACTGGATTTCCTACTGGGCAGTTACAGTTGTGTTTCTTGGGCATACGTCGTCAGGGCGACACAAGGCCTATTCTGTATACAACCCTCTACCCTGAGAGACAACACAGGAGTAAAATGAGGTGACAGATTTGGGTCTGGTAGCCACTTTGGCTTGTAGATAACTGCCTAATAGCTAGTGTCTATCTCTTACAGCTATCCCATGGACATTGCTTCCAGAATTTAGCAAGGAATATGCCTAATTTGGATAGTTACCATATTTCGCTTTAAACTTGCCACCAGATAATTATTACCACTTGCTCTTTTCCTAATTCAGAGGCATCTCATCAATTGGGTTAGTTTTACCATAAGCCATGTGACATAGTAGTATACATAATACCTCACCTTCTTAAGATTTTCAAAGGGATAGAACTTAAAAGTGATCCCAAAGGAAAATGTGCTCACTGACCAGGAGAAAGGATTTCATTATCTTTATACTAACAAGAACAACACTTGTCCTTTAGTCTCTTTTCTTTTGGCTTTGGTCATTACAGTTAAAGTGAGTGATGGCTTTTGTCTCACTCCAGTAAGGTAGACAGAGGTCACTTTGGAGCTGAAAACCTCAGTCTTACCATCCTGCTGGTGGCCTGTCTGTTACAATTCTATCTGCATAAAGTCAAAGAAGCCTATGGGAAGGAAGTTTGGTACGAATCAATTCAAAGAAAAATAACTAGAAAAACCATGCCTGAGGTTTGGCCAGTCACCCTTATGGCTCTTGCAGAAGTCACCTAGCGATTTCAGTGTGCCATCTGTCAGGCATGGTTTCCTCTAAATTGGTGGTTGAAACCAACTCTTTTTACTTTAAATTCCTCAGCTTTAGTTAGATCTTTAGTGATTTTTCTGAGTTCCTTTGTCTCAGAAAACAGGGTTTTCCCTCCCTAGTCAGCACTTCCTAAGAAAATTTCAGGGAAATGGTGCTGGGACAGAAACTGGTAGCAATCTGAGTCAGTTTTGGCACAGTGGACTGAAACTGTGTTCCCCTTTGTCTTCCATAGATCAAGGATACCTTCCTGAGGACTTACACGGATGCCATGCAGAACTACAATGGCAATGATGAGAGAAGCCGGGCAGTGGACCATGTTCAGCGCAGCGTAAGTTTCAGAGTTGAGAATGGAGCTTGCATATAATGGTCCGGGCTTAGAACTCTAGGCCTGCTAGGTTGGTAGGTTAGACCAGTTGCATATACTATTCATTCTCATTCTCTAACTTTTGGTCCAGTTCTGTTCTGAAGAGTTGTTTCTGAACATTTGTCCAGGCTTTGGTTTTCTAGGAGGTTAGCATCAAGAAGGCACACTGTTTTGTATTGGTAAAAGTGCTAAACATGCCAAGAATACCCCATTTGTCCTTAAAGTCTGAACCATTAGAAAGGAGCTAGGTGGTGGGTCTGTATCAGTCTAGCTAAAAGTTTATCCCTGAATGCTGGCTCTCTGGAATCAGGAGAGCAGCATCCACTTATTGCGTCCCAATAGTAAGGCTGGAGAGTGGACCAAACAAGAACTAAGGATCTGTCTGGGTATAGTCTGCAAAGGGGAAAATGTTTTTAAAATTTTTAAATAGTGAGATTTTAAATTTTATTTTGATGACATTTCAGACTCCAGGAAGGTCAAAAGTGTAAAGAACTATCCACTCAGATTTACCAATCAATAACATTATTATCTCATTTGCTTTCAAAATCTCTACATGAGAGATCAAAAACCTTTTCTAAGAAGGTAGAACTAGAAAATACTTTAGGCTATGGGGGAGGTCCTTATACTCTGTGTCACAACCAACTCTGCCACCATGGCACAAGAGGAGCGAGCCATGGGCAGTAGGCAATACATAAACAAGCAGGCATGGCCAGTTCTCAAACCCCTTTACAGAAACATGCAGGTAGTAGGCTATAGTTTACCAACAGCACTTTTCTATCTTGTATATAAATCATCCTCTCTAAGGTATTTATTGACTGATTTGTACACATTACCTGCCTATCAGAATTCAGGGTGGAATTAATGTATGTATTTAGTTGCACTCTTACATGATTGTGACATTTAGCAAGGGCAGATACCTGGTACTTCACTGTGTAGATGGTAAAAAAGCAAAAAATAATGCAGAACCAGCTTCCTTCTGTGAGCTCAGATGGGCACCAAGAAAAGGATGGATTGATGGTAGAGCTTGAGTCCATTTTTCCATGCCTTAAGGTAGGTGTGCTATATTGGAAGTCTGGCTGCTCTTTTTCTTAGAAAAGTTTCAGGGCAAGAAGCAAGGAGGCCACTGTGTTTGCTCAAGCACTCTCGAATTCATTTTGTTTCCCTGTTAACAGCTGAGCTGCTGTGGCGTGCAGAACTACACCAACTGGAGCAGCAGCCCCTACTTCCTGGACCACGGCATCCCCGCCAGTTGCTGCATGAATGAAACTGATTGTAACCCCCTGGATCTGCACAATCTGACTGTGGCCGCCACCAAAGTGAACCAGAAGGTATCTCTTCCTCCTAGCCCTAGTGGGACAGGCAGGTGCTGCAGGCTGAAATTAAGGCAAATAGGCAAGAAAGGGTAGTCTCGGAGGGAGCTGAACTTCTTTTTTGTGGGGCTTGCTTGTCTAGGAGAAGCACTTGAGGCTGCTCACTTCTGAAAGAGGAAGCTGTGCCTCCAATTGGTCTCACGTGGCTCTCCCACAGCAAGCAGCTAGCAGGCACAGCTATGAAGGGTTAGCAAATGGTTTCTGTTAACCTTGATGCCCGTGTCAGACAGAGAGGGTTTGCTTTCTTCTTTCTGGGTGCCTTTCTTCTACTTAATATACCATCGAAACATGAAATTATTCACAGCTGGGTGCCAGTCTTTAGCAGGAAGAAGGAAGTAGAGTTGACAGACAGCGTCTGCTTCTGCTGGGAGGGCGGCCTTTATTTTAGGGACTTCACTGTTGTAGGAAAAGAAATGAACAGCTCCAATTCAACTCACTGTCAACATCTTGATTCCCAAAGAAATGGTGAGAATAAAAAAAGGATGGGGGAAAGAGATGTGCAAGTCCATTCATAACACAAAGGGGAGACATGAACTTCCAATAGTCAGGGAGAAGGGAAATCGATCCTGGATTACACTTTTCAAAGAATACAATGAAGACATGGTACAGCTGTGTGGGAATACTATCAGCATTCTTAAACATTTAAAGAAGTGCCCTATATAAATAAAGGAGCAGAATGTACTGTTGGGTTTGCCTATAGTGAATCAGCCATGGGGCAAATTTTGTTCTCTTACCAAGAAAGCATTCTGTTCTCTAATATCTTCATAGTTCTGTGTTGTCTGGGCCACCTACTGAATAATTCATAAAGAGATGATGGCCATTCTATCCTCTCAAGATTAGAACATTATGAGGTCATTTCTGTATTTTACCCATTTTATATTGGGATCTGTAACAGGAATGCTGCAAGGTTTTTGCTGTTCTGGGAGCTCATTTTATCATTCTGAAACTTACTTTGCTGTTGGCATGATTCAGGTAGATTGGGTACTGACTATTACTCTCATAAGACTATGTCTGGCTTTTGCATGGGTAATCTCCACTGAGTAGCCAACTATATGTATCATTTTGCAGCCATTTTATGAAGTGTGCATCCATACTTAGCAAATAGACTTTGATTTATAGATGACAAGAAGTGATCTATGTGAGTGAGTGCTTTGGTTCATGTGGCTTGTGAAAATAACACCCATCAAATTTTGGTAAACATTTTTTTTCCACATAAACATTTTCCTTTGTGAAAATTAAGGATCTAGAAATCTGAATTCAGAAGTTAGACTCATTTTAAATTCTGAATCAAAACATTTTTGATTGTGGGATCTTGGTGAAGTTACTTAGCTTTTCTCGGGTTTGTTTTTCTCATCTATAAACTGTAGATTATAATAATTCTTGCTCTTGGAGTTAAGATGAGAAATTCATGAAAAACAAATTATCTAAAGCATAGTGCCAGGCACAGACTGAGGACATTCTAGGTATTAACTATGATGCAAATATGATGTCAGCAATGCTGAAATTACTTTAGTTTTTCCACAATGAACCTTATAGGGAATATCATCTGTTAGCCTCCGAAAAGTAGGCTAGGAGCTGGAGATATGGTTCTGATGTTAAGAGAGCTTGTTGCTCTTGAACGGGACAGGAATTCAGTCCCCAGCACTGAGGTTGGCTAACCCACACCTGCCTATAACTCCAGCTCCAGAGAACCTGACACCTCTTCTGGCTTCCACAGGCATGTGCACAAGTGAATTTCCACACAAACACACACACACACACACACACACACACACATTAAAAAACAAGGGGCCTATAGTGTATCTGTAATTTGTAAAATTATTTCTAGAAGAAAAGACGGATACCATTTATTTATTTATTTATTTATTTATTTATTCATTTTGCCATTTTGGTGACAGCCTATACTTTGACCTCACTCCCTATCCCTACTACAGTCCTAGTTTGTTGTTCCCCAAGTAACCCCAAAGACTTGGGAAAGTCATGCAACTGTACTCTGTCACTGTCTTTGTACTATCTAACCTGGACCCTGGGTAGAAAAGATGAATACAGCTGAAATGTGTCTGCTGAATTTCATTAGAATTTCTCACTTATTGACTACATAAAACTCTGGTACAAATTATTTCTCCCTTTGGCGTCTCGTAGATACCCATATCAAGTGGAAGATGAGAATGGAATGGAGACTGTAGTAGTAGGTGCTGATAAATATCAGCATCCTCCCCCTTCGGAGGACTTAATTATTTTCCCATTCTCAATCTATGGGATCCTGAAGTTGAGAATAAGCAGGTCATCCCTCTAGATCATTTGCTGTTTTGAATCCTACCCTCTGATAACTCTGAAGTATGAACTTTGACTTTTACTTACTAACCTGGGAAACCTCTATTATACAGATTCTGGGTTGGGAGCAGGTAGGAGGATGTGTGGACCATTACACAGGGTATTGCTTGTTTGACTTAGGACACAGGGTTTTCTTTTGCTAGTGAGATATGAAATGTCTGCAGGTTCAGTTAGCTAATTGCACTGGCTGAGCCCCTACCATAGGAAAGTCTTTCCAATTTGTAAGAACAAGAGGAAGAAGGACTGACTCTGCTTGGTAACTACAGAGATACCTCCAGAACATTTCTGGAACTTGCCTTCCCCACGTAGTTAAAGTCTGCCATGGCAGATGCTTTTCCATTGGCAACTGTTGATTTAGATACACCACGAGAGTGAGGAAATTAACCATTCTGTTTCTCAGTGTTTCCTAGGAGACTTAGCAGATCTCTAGATTTATCTTCTGCTTGACAGCCAGGCTTTCATATTAGGAAATTGAGAGAGATAGTTGTGGGTAGATAAGCTCACACTTTAGTACAGGACTTGAGGTTGAATGCAAACATGACCCATGGTTGTAGTAGCAAAGCAATTCTTGCATCTACAGAGCCGTGCTACTTGGAAAGTAGGCTTTAGGGCTGAATGACAAATAAGAGAAAATAAATCATTCTCATCTTTTCATTTTTGTTTACTCTATTATTGATAGTATGTATTAATCTGGTTTCTTACTTTTAGTAAAGCTAGGTAACTTTTTGTGGGTTTTTAGTTTTGTTTTTGTTGACAGAAGAGTAGTTCCTTTTCAAGGTTTAATGAGCATATGAAACATCTGGAGAGCTTGTTAAGATAAATTGTAATTCACTAAAAATATCAAAAAGGAATAACCTAAGTATGTGGCAGATGCTGGTTCCACAGGTCTGGGGTAGGACCTCCAGTTTGGCATTTCTCACAAGTTCCATGCTGCTTATTCAAGAACTACACATGGCGTAACAGGGAGAAGTATTTTTGTCACAGTTGAACTCATGTCTTGCAGTTACTTGTGTTTGTGATTTCTCCTACTAGCTGACAATGAATGAGCATATCAAAAATAAAATTACCCTTGAAATGTTCAAAAATAGAGCTGGGATGTGACTGTGATGGAGTACTTAGCGTGTGTGAAACCCAGTGTTACAGCCCTCTCACTGGAGAGACAAAAATCAACAACCCTCCCCCCCTCAAAAAAAAGTAGAAACTATACTCAGACTTTTAGAAATACAGGTTTGATTTAAGTGCAAAATTAAAGCCACGATGGAGGGAGCAGAAAAATCTCTGCCAACTAGTTTACAGACAAAAAAAAAAAAAAAAAATGGTCCCTGCTACTTCTGTTTGTGTGAGATGATCAGGCTTGTGGTTTTGTATTTAGAGTCAATCTAATGCTGATGTTATGGAGCTCACTCTCCAACTTGAACATCTATGTAGAGAAAGGCTGTGATGATAGCCAGCTTGGAGAAACACCATTTGGGAAAGTGTTAGAATAGCTGCTTATCTTCCTGCCTATTGCAGTCTTCCTAACCCATGTGTTTCTCCCTCCTGCTACCTTTTGGAAAGTAATGTGATTGATCATATTGCTAGTAAAAGTGAAATCAGAAAGCTTCTACAGGAAAGACTCAAATTGTATAACTCCCCATGAGCCAGCATGCACTTCCCTTCATATTTCTATCAGATAGTAAGGAGTATCTTTTGTAAATTGCTTTGAAACAATGTTATAACACTGCTCTAAGTTATTGTACCCTCTTTGTGTAAAGATGCTGTGAATATGATAGATCATTTAGAGAAGAAAGCTATAATTTTCACATGCTATGAGCTTTGTTAAACAAAATTGGAATTTAAAAATGAAGGACAATGGGGAGGGTGGTGGTGGTTGTTCAAATGTTTTTATGACTTAGAATGAACTTCCAGAAAAACAAGAACCACTTTGATTCTCTTCATTAAATGTCTCCATTTTTCACACAATTTGTGTATTCAAGTCACAGTCCTTTATTGGAAAAAACCCTGCATTCTTTGCTGAATAAGTCAACTCAGAAATAGGTTGATTTGTTTAGTTCCACATATATATACACATTTAAATACACACATGCATGCACATGTATATACACACACTTCTGGTCCTACTTTTTGATCTAAAAGTGAGGAGTCTAGTAATAATAGTCAACTTTTGCCTTCTTTATATTATGGAATATGCAAAACAAGTGGGTATTTCCTACCTGGACAAGGTTGATAAATATAATCTACCTCAACAACATTTTAATTTTAACGTTAAATTCTGTCAATTTCTCTATTTAATTATGGAATTTGAAGATTGTAGATGAAGAGAAAATTTACTTGGTCTTATGAATATGGTTAGTGACATTCTGAAAGGTAAAGTGACTTGATCAAGGTTACATAGTAAATGTTGACAAAGCTGAGTCTAGAATGTAGATTTTTGTTATTAAGAAAAAATTCTTAAGGGATTCCCTAGGAAAAACTCAAACTCTGTGAAATTTGCAGTTATTTGAATAATTTCCTCTGACCAAATGATTTCTCTTTTTCCAAGAGTTCATCATTTATTCACAAAATGAAAATGGCAGTGTTTGTTTTTGTTTTGAGACAAGATCTCACTGTCTAGCCCTGGCTATTGTAGAACTTGCTACATAAACCAACCCCCTGCCTTTACCTCCCAAATGCTGGGATTAAAGATGTCCACCACAATGAGCAGCCTAATGACTATGTTCATGAAATTTTCAGTTCAAAGTTTTGGAAAACTTGAATTTTGCATGTTTCCTTTTATGCCTCTACAGAATTTACTTCATAGAACTTTTGTATTTCTTGATAAATTTAATCCTACTAATGACATGTTCATAGGTGAAATTATGTCTGGAATTTCCCAAGTAATGTGTGTTGGGGAGGTCTCAGGGAGGTCTCAGTGGAACAAGATATATATCTGTATATCCATTAGGGGAACTCTCCTGTGCAGGTTTATTTTACTATACTCTATACTTGTTGTATGTTTCAATTCATTAGTTGGTTGGCTGGTTGGTTGGCTATTTTCTTGGTTGGCTGGCTGGCTGATTGTTTTGTTGGTTGGTTGGTTGGTTGACTGACTAGCTAGTTGGTTGGTTGGTTGTTTGGTTGGCTGGCTGATTGGTTGTTTGGATGGATGGATGGATGGATGGATGGATGGATGGTTTATTTGACTCCCCCTGTTCTCTTTGTAGGGCTGTTATGACCTGGTGACCAGTTTCATGGAGACTAATATGGGGATCATCGCTGGAGTGGCATTTGGAATTGCATTCTCCCAGGTACTTAAATGATGATGCCTATCCCAGCTTCCCAGGCTTGTTTAACTCCCTGGCCTCCAGATTCTCAGACTGTCTTCCTATTCTCTGGAGAAGATTGATAGATGGGGTCAGAGGTCCTTGCTCATTAGGCCTCTGGTCATCTGTTTATTGATTTTTCTTTTTCAACTTAAATGAAGTTTTGCTGTCAAGGGAATATTGGTTACAATTTAACTAATGACTACAACCCAGTAAAACAACTTGCTTCTTCACAGGTCAAATGGAGGGTAACAGAACAAGGTACTGACTTTATTGGACTGTAACCATCTTCAAACATCAACTGACTGGTCTAGATTTGAGAGAGGCTCTTTCCCTGGTTAACCTGCCCTTTTTCATTCTTTCTTAGTTTCTGTTCATTACTCATGTCATTGCTCCCTTTAAAGGAAATTCATATTTAGCAATCTTTATATTATGAACATTATTTTAATCTTTAGATTAAAATCTTCTCTTTCTTAAGAGTAAACTTAATTATTTGTGCATTAAACTGTCCATCTCTTATTCTCCATTAACATTTTACATACCACTAGGAGATATAATTATTCCAGTTAAGTAAGCTAAACCTACTAAAGGACAGAAAACATTTAAGCCATATCTGAAATTTAGCCTTACTCTAGACAGTAAGGTACTGTTTTAATGGCTTCTGAGTTCTTGAACAAATGGTATGTCCTTGTTTTAATATTGCTGTGGGTACAAGGACTAGCATGTATACTCAGCAGCTTAATAAGAACTTTAAGTTTAACTTATTTTTCTTCACACTAACAGATCATTTTTCATGGAAAGTCCAGTTGATATCTCAGTAATGGCTGCAAAGTTACATGTCTATAAAGGCTATCTCAAAGTCTAATTTTCTTCCTCTGCGTCTGTTGTTCTGCTTTGCAGTGTAAATACAGTTTCTCTTTATTCAAGGTTGTCCCTGAAATGTTTTTATTGTAATATGAAGTTCAATAAAAGGAGCTAAATTGTAACATTACAGTGTAGTAAATTATTACTTATGTGGCTCTTGCTTAGACCAGGGTATAGGTCCTTAACTTGTTAGTATGTTTCTGCCAAGCAGAGGTTAACATTAAAGAAAGTGAGATGCTTTTCTTCCTAAGTAGTTATCAAAACCTGTGTGACATGTCATCTCCCAAGAGCATGTGAAGTAAATCATTACAAGTGTCTCTTGAGTTGCAATTTCAAAATCCTCATGAAACATACTTCATTGTTTTTACAATCGTGGAGTGAATTGAAGCCCCAACATGCCAAAACACAGACCAAGCAGAGTCAGATCACAAACAGTGCAATTAGCTCAGTCTCCAGAGACATTTCAAAAGCAGTTACTGCCCTGAACTTTCTCCCAATTGCTGTAATATTTCAGTAATAATAGTTAGTAACATTGTATAATGGCCTAGGGACAATTTCAAGGATCCCAAACCTTGTGACTCATGCAAATGTGAGGATACACTTAACAGCCTTGAACATATAGTTTCTTCAACACAGGTTGTTAACACCAGAAATAAAGAAGTGTGATACACACATGCACACAAACACACCCACACACTCATGCACACACGCATGCACGCTCACAAACCTGAAGTCTTCCTTCATGAATTCCCTGGGGAAATAAAGTGACACAATACCAATACTCTACATAAGAAGAATACCCCCAGTAAGCCTGGGATCTTGTTGTTGAAGCTTCTTATGTAAGAATATACCTATGCGGTATGTAAGTGGAAGTTTAAGAAGATCCTATTTTCATTGCTGAGATGTGTCAAGTGTTGTCTATGCTTCTCTCAAGCATCCCTGTAAAGGAATTTATGCTTAGACAAATAGCTAGCCAGCCTGTTGATCATTAGTTTAACTGTGCTGTCTTAAAGGGATATATGGCTTGGGAATGGTTGAAGATGCTTTGTGGCACAGAAGAACACTGACAGGGGAGCTTTGACTCAGAGGAACAGGAAAACAGAAACACTATAGCAGGTTTAGTTTATCAGAGAGAGCCACGCAGATGTTAAGATAAGAAGAGAAATCACAAAGCCCATTAACATTGTACATTCCCTACCATTCACTCGCATGGCCATGCAGAGCAGAGATTTGATACCTACTGTGCTCAGCTTGTGCCTGGGAGGAAGATGGCTGTAGTTGGTTGGTATTTTTACTCATTTTACTCTTCCAGCTCTTTAGGGGGGCTTGCCACTCAGCTCAAAAAAAATCACATAGGAGGCTTATTCTTAATTATACATGTTTGGCCTTAGCTTGGCTGGTTTCTAGCCAGCTTTTCTTAACTTAAATTGTCTTGATTATCTTTTGCCTCTGGGCTTTTCCATTTTCTTACTTCTGTATATCTTACTTGGACTTTTCCTCTGGCTGCCTGGATGGCTATGTGGCTAGGCCCTAATGTCCTCCTCTCCTTGTTTTATCTTTCCTTCTCTTTTTCTACCAGATGTCTCCTCTTTCTCTGCCTGACAGCCCCATCTATCCTTTCCCCTGTCTCTTTATTGACCATTCAGCTCTTTATTATACCATCCGGTGTTTTAGACTGGCAAAGAATCTTAGCTTCACATAGTTAAACAAATTCAGCATAAACAACTTTTAAACACATGTTCCAGAGCATAAACAAATGTAACACACCATAAAATAATGTTCTACAACATTGGTCATGGCTGGCTCTTCCCAGGTGGGAGGGAGGGGGGGTGAATGTTCGTGGCTGGTCTTCCTGGCTAGAGGTACTAAGAACTGCAGTTATTTACATATGTCTTCAACTCCAAATTTCTGTTAGATAAGGATGATTTCTAGATACCAGTAGGTCCAGGACTTCCCTGGAGCAATAGTAGTTAACTACTTACAAGATGTCTGCTCAGGAAGAATAACCCCATGGAGCCTAATCAATATCCCAGAGGCCCAGCTTTACAAACTTCATTCAGATACTGTAGAGCCAAACCTTATAAATGCTCATTGATATGAATTAATGTGTCATGCCTTGGCTCTCCTGTACTAAATAGAGGCCAAAGTGTGTGGGTAAAGATCAGCAGCACCTACTCCCTGCTTTTCTCTCTTCCTGCCTCTCTTTGTTCCTCCCACCCTTTCACTTTTCTTCATCTACTTTACATCTTCTCCTTGCCCTTTTCTACATCCTGTTATGAGAACCTGGCCTATTGCATACCTATTGTGTCAGCTAGTAAAGGTGGTATAATGGTGCCAGAAAAACTGTGCTGAGTCCAGATTCGATTGATTTGTAAGCACCATGTCCCTTATTACTTATTAGCTAATATGGCTTAGAGCTCTTATTTAAATGGCAGAGTTTGAGCTAGCACTTCCCAGAGCTCCTATTTCCTTTGTCCTCTCAAGAAAAGCACATTTGGCTGGGCTTCATGGACACATCCTGCCTTCCCTATAAATTTTCAGTAAGAAGTTGAGTATGCTTTGAGGGAGTGTTTCTTTCCTCCTCTTTGGGAGGAAGCAATCACACAGTTTATTCCAGACTCTCTTGGAACTCATTGTGCAACCCAGTTTAAACTCAATTTAAAGCATTCCTCCTACATGGGCCTAGTCTCCCTGATGCTGAGGTTATAAGCATGAGCCACCATACTTGTCTTTCCCAATAGTTTTGATAGCTACTCTCTTTAGAAAGGGAGCTTGGGCAGGAAGACAGAAGAAGATAAGGGGGAAGTAGGTGAGAGAGAGAGAGAAAGGTGAAGTATGTATACCCTTTCTTCTCTATCTTTCCATCTCCCCTCCCTCTTTTCTTCTGTCTTTCCCTTATTTTATTAAGAAAGAGAAGTCCCCCCACAAAAAAGAGAAGTCCCTTAATTCAAAGGTATTTACCAAAAAAATAGAACCCATTCCTAAGAATTTATTCCTGACCTTTCTTTCCCCTACTTCCAGAGCCTTCATTGGGGCCTACAATCTGATGAGGTGATTTATTCTATGGCAGTAATTCTTTAGGAGTCCCTTAAAAAGTCCTATTACCTTTTCTGTATACAGAGCCTAAAGAGGTGGGGCTAGGCTCAGATACAGAGCAGTTGCAACATTAATCTTTATGAAGACTACCTGTATAGTTTAGGGATGATAGTTGACCTATTCAACCCATTTTCTTAAGAAATCTGGAAAGCTGAAATTAAAATACTACAAAGAGTTTTAGTAAAGATGATTATTTTGTCATATCTGAATGTGTTATACACTTTCAATACTTATTTAGATTTTATGGGAATATAATTTTTTGCACTGTGAAATATATTCTGGAATTTCCTGATCTTGGAAAATATTAGTCTTTTAGAAAGAGACACGCTGTAAGTTTCAAAGTTCTTGCACTCCTGAAACATTTAGGTTCTCATTCAGCAGCACAACCCAAAAGTTACAGCCCTTTGTCAACTCCACAGCAAGTGTGTGATAATATATATTGTGGCATGCATGGAATGATATAGCTGTATCTTTAGAGGTCACTGCTACCTATGAGACAACAAGGCATAGCTGGTTTCTTAAAGACAAGGCACTATTAGCCAAAGGAAAAGGGCCTCTGGGCTCAAGAATACCATTGAGTACCTCTCCAAGGAATTCTGATCCTCATGGCTTATAACTATTGGTTACTAAAGATGTGACTGAGGGTGTCTTGATACTGCCAGAATAGTTTATCATCAAATTCACCTGTGCTACAGGCTAATCCAAGGCACAAAGAATGGTGGAGACCAGGGTTCCCTATGGAAGTGGTAATGCATCTTTGAGTGGTTTTGTGTGGCCCCTGATAACTAGAAAGTGGACCCTGAATGTATGTGGTCCTGTTTAGGCCAGTAATAGCTACTTGATTGAGAGACAAACAGAAATTAAAGCTCTACTTTCCCATTTCCTCTCTTTCCACCCATCTCTTACAAGTGATGACTCTATTGTCTCACTGGCAAATGGACCCAATCAAGAATATTGTCTCTATTCTTGTCCAAAGGAGGGGGGACACTATTCTGTAAGCCAAGTATAACTAGAGTATCATACTGTGTTGAGAAATCTGGCAAATATATTTAGCCTTCCAAATAATTCAAGGCTTATGCCTTTGGATTAAAATTTAGCCTTTCTGTTAATATAACACCAATTCCATGTCATTTAATTATGTTTTGCATAAATCTGTCAGCATGCTCATATTTTAATACTAGTTGCTATCACAGGTTGTTCTGAAAAGGCCAGAGTGACTTTGTAGCCAGTGAAAGAACTTCCCACTGGACCCACACCAGTACTTAGACTACCTCAAGCTTAGGTACCACAATTCAAATCTGATGTGTTCTTCACTTTTGACCTTTGCCCTTTCCACATAAGAAAACACCTATTTACTAAAAGTTTTATCTATGGACCTATATGTATCATGATAACTCTTTGTGTTGACAGTTAGATATAAGCAGTTGTTATGTATCAAAACTAAATCCATCCAGGGTTCAAGAAGGGTATATATGTTTGTGAATTGAGATTCTTCTTCATTTGTTTTCCTTGCCAACAGTTGATTGGCATGCTGCTGGCTTGCTGTCTGTCCCGGTTCATCACTGCCAATCAGTATGAGATGGTGTAAAGAGAAGGTAAGTGACAATGGGGAGTATTTTTCCATTTGGTACCCATACTGCTCTTCAAGTGGGAGGAAGGGTGCTCAGCTGATGAACTACCTGGTGTTATCTGTGTGCGGAAATCTCATATGCATATGCTGGCGAGGAGGTGGTGTAGAGACAATTTCCAGACCTTGGGAATGCTTACTCTTCGTCTTGTGCACAAATAACTCCCATATTTTCTCTTCCTCTTTCTTGCAGTCTTTCAAGAAACTATGGAATAAGAGGCCTGTTTTTAAAAGGAACTGCCGCTATCTCTGAAAGACTTCCAAAGAACGTTAGAGCACAGTACATAACATCCCCACCCTGCTCCCACCACCCACTCCCCCAAACCCACCCCTGTGTGCAACTGATACTCCTATTCAGTCTATGCTCTGCCTTTCAGCCCACATCATGTGTAGTGTCCATCTTGTGAAGCCCTGTTATGCCACACAGTTTAGCTATGCCCCCTGCAGCTAGTTATAGTGAACCCCACCTTAATGCCCTGTGAGTGCCAGGTCTCTCACATGTACTTGGTCCAACTGTAGATGACTGGTTATTACATCATCACCGGCCCCTTGTGGCCCTGCATGTAGTAGGGGAGGCTGCAGTCAGCCCCTCAACGTGGTCCATGAATGCCACGCACCTCTCCGTAAATAAGCAGGTGGTAGTTATCTTTTCTTTTGGCTTAATCTGATTTGGTTTGGTTTTCCCGTTACTGGGATTCTTTCCTACCTTCTTTAGGCTGCCTAGAACATGTGGAGAGACACAGTGGGAGTTATTCACGAGGAGAAAACAGCATGTGGCATGCATGGTGGAAACTGTTATTAAGCATTAGGTGGCCTCCTTGCTCATAATTGTTCCACAAGTGGGTGTGTAGAGACTGCTTAGTGTAGGATTTCCTCTCAGATGAAACCTGTATAATCCTGTTACAAGGTTATGTTGTTACTCCCCCTGAAGGCACAGATACTGCTTTTGATTTGCCCCAACTAATTTCTATTATTTTACTTTTTTTTTTCCTGTATTTTGTTTTCTTGCACTGACATTATAGACTTGGAGGACCTCATCAGATCAATTTAAAGTGAGTGTAGAGGGGAAATGAAAGTCAAAATATTTTTTGAAGATCTTAAAAATAATGCCTCTGTCTAGCATGCCAACAAGAATGCATTGATATTGTGAACATTTGTGATATATGTATTAATAAATAGAGCAATTACAAATGGCTGTGTTACGGTTCTCTTCTTCAATTGTGATGAAAATCTTTGAACATATTCCCATTCTGTCGTGCTCTTTGCAGGATTGGGGAAAGGCCCCAGTTTATACATGGGCATGGCTATCTACGTGTATTCCCACCAAACAAAATTCTTGGGGGTGGTGAGTTTTTTTTATCTTGGAGATCTCAGGAACTTGATATGGTTATCATGAACAAGATAGACTGTTAGCCACAGAGTTAGAGCCTTCATAGTACTTCATGCCTCTGAAATTCTTGAAAGAAACACAAAAATTTCTTTTTTTTTTTTTTTTTGGTCCCTTCCTAATGTCTCCAGGCAACAGTACCTGGGTACTGGAAACACAAAGATTTCAACTGAGTTTTTAAAGTCTCAATTCTATTTTAAAATGAAATGAGTATCTGTTGTTTCTTTCATCATTTCTATAAACACAAGTTCTTCCATTGTTACGTTCTCCTGTAGATCAGATTGAATATACTGATCTAAGGAACAATTCAATGTGCCAGTGCCCTAATCTGTGTTAAAGTATGAAGTGCTCACATGTGATATAAATGCCATTTTAACATAGGTACAGTATAACACATTAATTGCAACTATTATTTTTTTCAGCAGATCCTACTGGCATGTGCCACCACAACCAGCACCAATCACTATTTTTTGATGAGCTGTCAAAAAGAGAAGTGCCATTAAAAAACTAAATTGATTAGTTAGCAAGGTAGGGGATCTGAAAAACCTCCTTATTCCCTCAAAAACAGCCTGGAATTAGGGCAACAGTGGCTTTCTAGCTAAATACATTTGTGAGTCCAAACTCTGTACATCATAAACTCTACAAGATGTACAAAGGACATTGCCCAAACAAACATTCAGATGTCCCCTTTGGAAGGTCAGTGTCTCAGAAACATGCCTCTCAGAACTTTTTCACTATTTTATTTTTAAATTTGCACTTTATATTAAAATGAGGCTTTTCTGTAACATCTTAACTATATATGAGCCTATGGTTCACCCTCTTGAAAGCTATAGGGTACTGTGTGTGTGTGTGTGTGTGTGTGTGTGTGTGTGTGTGTGTGTGTGTGTGTGTTTTGATAAGAAACCTTTGTAAATTAAATTCAAATCTCTGCACTATATACATTTGGGCTGAGATTGGTTTTACTTCAAAATTTAAAGTGTTTACATTTCAACTGTGAATAACCTGTATAAAATGCACATTCTCCCTTTAAAATTTAAAGGACAAAATTAAAATGTCTTCCTTGAATCATTAGAAGCACAGTGGCAGACAAGTTGCTAAATATACAGTTTGAACTTATACATAGTGGAAGCCAACATACAAAATATTGTCAGCACTCCTGAAGTGCCTTCTTCTCTGTTAGAAATCATACCTAAAAATAGCCACCTCTCTGTACTCTATTACCAAAGGTTGGTTTTGTGTGTTCTGAAACTTCATACAAATATAATTATATATTTGTTCTATGTGCATTCTCTCATCTTCATTGCCATATGGGATTATACTCCATAAATGTAACACAATTGTCTGTTTTATTGTTGCTATGCATTGACATTATTTTCAGGTTTTAGATAGTATGACTAGAACTAGAATGAACACTATGGCACATACATCCTTCTTTATGGCCATAAACACATGTGTATAATTACTTGAAAATAATATATGTTCCCAAGTTAGGAGGTACTGCATAACACTTTTCCTAAAATAGATGTAATAATTTTTTTCTAAAATAGATGTAATAATCCAACCAGCAGTACAAAAAGCTCTCTAGTTCTATATCTTCCCTAGCATTTACTATTCTCATTACTTCAGTTTAGCTATCCAGTGGATATATAATGGAATCTTATTTCAATTTCTCTCTCCCTTGTGACTAATGATATTGAATATTTATTTTCTTCCCATTAGTGATTTTGATATCACCTTGGCAGATGTGAAAGTATTTTTTGATTGTCTGCAGTTCAACTGTCTTTATTTATTTGTAATGCTTCTCCATATATTCTAGATACAGGTCGTAATGTTTCTCCATATATTCTAGATGCAGGTCCTCTCTTGGATGCATGTGTGGCAAATCTCTTCTATAGTAGGTCTTTGGGCTGCCAGCTCCCAAATAACAACACAGACAGAGACTTATTAAGTATCAGTCTTGGCCTTAGCTTAGGCTTATTCTCAAATAGCTCTTAAAACTTAAATTAACCCATTTATATTAATCAATGTTCTGCCACTCAGCCCGTTACCTCTTCTCAGTACTGTATGTCCCACTTCCTCTGTGTCTGACTGGTGAGTCCTGACTTTCTTCTTCCCAGAGTTCCTATCTCTGTCCAGAAATTCCACCTATCCTCCCCTGCCTAGTTATTGGCAGTTCAGCTGTTTATTAAACCAATCAGAAGTTGCTATGGCAGAGAAATAGTGTACAAAAATAGTGTCTCACAATGCTCTTCTCACTGGGGACTTCCTATCTGAGAACAGTCAGTTCTTGATTATAATTCTCAAGAAAGGATAAACAGTGACACAGATAGTCCAAAATAGCAAAATGCCTTCCTTCTTAGCAAGAGCAATATGTTATGCCCCAGTACAGATTGGTGTTGCATGAAGCTTTGCCATTTATTTGTTTTGTGCTTATTATGATGGAATTGATTTTTTTCCTTTGTACACAGGACGAAGTAACTCCTATTTGTTGAGGTCTGCTTTGCACCTTAGTGGGTACTATGCTTGTTTCATTTGTCCTAACAGTTCATATACTCTCTGGTCGTTGAGTGTGAGGACAAGTTGAAACTACACTCAAATAATAAATTTTATAAATCTTAAAATATTGAGTCCATGTTCTTATGAAGGCTTCATCTGTTTGACACATTTCTGTGAGTGTATTTAAAACCCCCCACTAAGAATGTTGATATTAGTCAGACTGTGGTGGTATACACCTTTATTGTCAGCACTTGGGAATCAGAGTCAGTTAGATATCTGGTGCGAACCCAACCTTGTCTACAGAGCGAGTTCCAAAACAGCCAGGACTACCCAGAGAAAACCTATCTCAAAACAACAACAAAACAAAAAGATTGTGGATTTTGCCACATTTTGCTTTATTTTTAAGCTATACTGTTAGGGATGTGCAAATTTAATGTCTCTTTGGTAAACTTGTTTCCTTTTACCACTAATAATGATTTCTCTTTAATGTTCACTTTGTTTGAAATTACAGTTGTTCTAGTCACTTTCTCCGGACTTATATTTAATCACAAGAATTATCCCCTATCTGTCTATGTTTAGTTTGTTTCTGTGTAGTTCAGATATGATTCTCAAGTGGTATACGACTGCATCTTTAGATCAGTGTGAGGCAGCCTTAATTGACAGCTAAGTCTAGTTACGTATTATTGCTGCTGACACACTTAACTTTATTTCTACCATGTTGCTTTTTTCCAACATAGTTTTTCTTTTTTGTGTTCTCTTGAATTGTGTCATCCTATTTCTTTGTGAAACAAATATGCATTATATATTTATAGTATAATTTACATTTCAATAATTAACATTGATTTCTTAACATACATATTTGAAATGTAAAGTTAATCAGAATCCCTATCTTCCTCCAAAATGACACCAAGTCTGGAGTATTTTGATCCCAATCAACTGTCACAGAAATGGCCTTGTTGCCTGACATTTTGTTTCTACAATTGTGTATAATTAATCCTATTAGTGGCTTTATAATTTAAATATCCCTAAATGAGTATCACTCTCATGGCTTCTTTCATCTCTGTCCTTTGCATTTCAGAGGTGTGTGTGTGTGTGTGTGTGTGTGTGTGTGTGTGTG